ACTCTCTTCTATAAATCACTATATCTGATCTTTCATGCCCATCATAATAACCTCCTTTTTTTTTTTATCATATTTAAACCCCTATAAATGCATATAGGTTCGACATGTTCTCTCAGAAATGGTCTTTTTTTAATTTGCTCTACCACTTGGGAAAATACCGTACTTTCAATATATGTCTTTAAGGTACTAGAAGAACGTGACTCAGGTTTTTGATTATGTAACCAAGTTCGACAGTTATCAGAAAAATCTTTATTTTTAATTAGACTTTTCAACTTAGCATGCTTTCCTTGACGATCAACAAGAAGTTCGCCCATTTCTATACGAATAGATAGGTTAAAATATAATTTAGTGGAAATACATTATAACTGAGGTTTGACTATATGTCTAGAAGGTTATTTTATCATGATTACCTATGTAATGATTTCCCCACTTCCTAATACATTTTGCCATATTGTCTCCTTTACACCAAATAGTTTGTGCAAGATGAATGCTTGCATTTATCTTTCTTTGTCCATCTAGTAACAATTTTATATATCTACCTATGCTTAGAAGGCACAAATGATTGTATATGAGTACGTTAATTTTTGAAGATTTCATTATTATACATTTTTGATTAACTTCGTTTAAACGCATTGCTAATTTTTCTTTATTAGTAGATAGTAAATTATGTGTAGCAGTTTGAGAGGATGTTTGTTTTGTAATTTCAATAGATGGTTTTGATGAATATGATAGTGATACTAATGATAAAGCGTTGGCTAATAGCGTTGATGAAGGTGATTGTGGTAATTGTAGCCATTTCATCATATCAACAGTTAGAAACAGGTACGATAAATTAGGAGATGCTTTCATATTTAATGATATATCAGCTTTTTGTTTTTTTCTCCAGGTTGTTGTTCTTGACATTCCAGTGTATGAAGATCTTTTACGACTTAATTCAGCAATCTCTTTTTGCATTATAGGGGACTCTCGCATAACTTCACCTTCTACTACCTCCATTTGTGGTATTTCTTCATCCATCATTTCTACTTGCATTATTCTTTGTGATGTATAACGACCTTGTTTTTTGGGCAATACGCTTATTTGCTGTCTTCCTTTACTAGGACGTGGCATTTTATAATAGTAGTTAATGAACAATTTTTAATAGTTATTAATACTAACTTTTAACAATTTTTATTCAGACTTTTTATTTAGGTCATTTGAGTCTCATTTTATATTTCAGCTAGAAGTTTAAGTTAAATATAAGTAGATCGCAAAGAAACAATTATAACAAAAGACAAACAAAAAAAGATCTGATAAACTCATAATTATTAAGTTAGTATGTAGCTGTCCCATTCAGAAGTAATTTAGAACGTCAAATATTTAGCATATTATCTTAAGCAAAATTTGCATACAATCGCAAAATGACTTAGATCATGATCTAAATCATTTTGCAATTATATGTAATTTTACCTTAAGATAATGTGCAAAATACTCTTTCAGTGTATGTTTATAAGAA